CGACACCTTTGATAGCGATTTGGTTTTTTGGTTTTTGTTTCCAAAACCTCTCTTTTGTTAAAATCACAGCCAAGAGATCAAATGTTGGGCAAATTTAAAGAAACTGCTTTCACACCCAGCAGCGTTTCAAATTAGAAAACAACATAATTCCAGCAGGCAGATGAAGCAGAAAATGTATAAACTAAAGTCATAAACCAGTAACTTGAGATTACAAACAAGAACTCGACGCTGTTTCTTTCCAGAGTATGATCTCGGTCTGATTTGCAGACTCGCAAATTGAAGATTAGAGAGAGGAGAAAGAAACAGAGTTGAACGACTAAGATTTTACAAAAAGAGAAAAGGCGTTGTGAGCATTAGTGAACAGCATTTGTTAGGATTGGCATTGTTAGAGTGCGTTTGTTGGGTGGAAGTGAGGATGGTGGGAAGGAGGAGCTCAGTAGAAGTTGCCATGAGGTACTTTTGCGTAAGGTTTTGGCAAGTCTTACAGAGGATGCACCTAATATGCCGCTGGGCCAAGAAATTAGCACAATGAACCCATTTGTCGCATTTCCTACACAGATACGCATCGTCCGCTTGGCAGTACAAGGAAGCCTTGGAGTTGCAGAGCTCGCACATCACCGGCGGAAACTGGCGGAAGCCGCCGTGGGCGTGGTTTCTTCCCTCTCCCACTCCTTTACACATTGTCTCTGGCAACACAAAATGTAGATGTGGCATGCCCCGGGAAGGCTCCGAGAGAGAGAGTATATATAGCCACAAAATTCTAGTTCTTACAATGGAAAATGGATTTAGAGCATAATGACATGTTTGCCACTACGTGACAGGCCCATTTATTTCCACACAGTTGTATAAAATGAAAGCAAAGACCCCTTTTTGCCACAAAAGAAGGGGGGGAGGGGTAAGTTTTAAATAAAGAAAGAAGTGAATAATGAGGAGAAAGGAAGAGGTGAGTGGCCTGGAACGAAAGCTCTAAAAGCTGGGGGACCCACACAGAAAGGGGTAATATGGGAAATGAGAATGAAAATAGAAAAATGTGTTGGGAATTGGAAATTGGGAGGGGGAGGAGAGTCGCTGTCCACAAATTGATTTATGTGTTGAAATGAAAAGCCACGTGTGGTGTGGATGACACATACAAATTAAATCCTTCAATTCAATATTCAAGTGCTGTGCTGCTAACTGTAACGCTACAAATTCAAATCCAATGCCTCTGCCTCTCTCTTTTTTTTAGATATCATGAAACAAAACCAATGGACCATATGCCTTCCTCACCTCTCTCTCTTTCTCATCATTGCCCTTTCGTGTCCTTGTTACTCACCACTCACCAGACAGGTGGAAAAATTTTAAACCTTATGTGTAACAAAATATCTAACAACACACACGAGTGAGTCCACTTATTTGTTGGATATGTAAACATAGTCTCCTATGTATTATTCATGGAGAAGACATGCAAAGAAAAACAAGACAACTTCTTTGTTACTGTGGTTTCTTTTTGTCAATAGAGTTCAAAAATAGAATCATCGAAACTAGATCTCAAGTCGTGGAGGTATGAAGAGATTGATTATTTCTCAAAAAAGCGATTTGATTGATGAGATTTGAGGGTTTATTTGGAAGTGGCGATGATATTAGTAATTTTGAAAAAAGAGATTTTAAGTATTATTGATTTTTCAAAATTACAGTGCTATCTTAAAAAATCAATTCAAAGTTAATTTTTAATTTACCAAAAATTTTGGCAATGTCAACGGTGATTTTTGCACAAAATCATTTCCAAACCCACCCCTCGTATTATAGTTTGTGAATTACCATTTATAAAATATAAATTGCTAAAGTTACTTTCATTTAAACATTTATTTATTTATTTTGAGAAAAATATTATTACTGTTCATTACTTATACTTAAATTGAATTAAATTTTGCTATTCATATATATTTTATGGCCGAGTCTGTTCCGTTTTGTACATCGTCCCTTTTATCAAAATATATAATGATAATAATAGTTATTTACAATTCAATTAATTTTTTAAACTCATCAAATAATTGCACATTAGTCCTAACAACCAAACCAACCACCAAAATTAATACGTGTTGATTTAAAATAAAATTCACACGGCGCAAGTAAGATATGTTCAGTTCATTAAGGAAATTAAAATATGCTTTTATTTGTCAATTTAAGCCTAATTTAATTAGTTATGATATCATATATATGTTCAAGGTTTGATATTCTAATAGAACAAAAATAAAATTATTTTTAAATATAAATTTCTAGGTTAGATGGAAAAAGAGTGCTTGCAAAGAATAATAAATAACCATTTATGAGGATCTGAAAATTTTGCTGGCCATTCATTATATTATAGAGTTTGTTTGCCCAATAATAACTACCATTCAAAATTAAAATTTCTTGAATACAGCCGCTAAACTTTAATTCTACCACCAAATTCCATAAAAATATTTGTTTTTCTGTATAAAATATTTATTTATTTAATATTGTGATTACTTCACTCAGCCTAATTTAACTCATGAAACTTTAATTAAAGTATATATTATTAACTTGATGTTGCAACTCCATTGATTAAATTTAGAATATATATTTTTTGGGTTCGAACTTGAGGCCTTTAAGTCAATATGACCCGGAGACTTCAACTCCTTATTAACTGGACTGTTTCTTAGAGGCAATACTCCATTTACTTTGTTGTTCAACCAAACTAAATAAAATTGACTGAAAACCTATTTATTTACATTATGCTCGTTTGTCAATATTACAAAAGTGAAAATTTAAAATTTTGTACGAATTTTACTTATAACCTAAAATTCATTGATAGATGAATACTAACATTTGAAAAAGTTTATCAATTTTAAATCTATGTTAATTTACGTATGCAAACTGTAAATATTTGCCAATCCTCATGTAGATATTTTATTTCTTTTGGTTTAAAATCGAAGGTTCATTTTCATTTTAATTCAAATTTTAGAAATGTTTAAAAAGAACATTGAAACTTGTTTGCCATCAACCATCAGTCAAAGTCAATTGGTCAAAAGGGACTAAAGAAAACTCTAAAAAAATTTAGAGGTAATAAATTCAGAAGTTTAACTCTACTTTTTAGAACTAAGTCAGTTGGAAACCTATCTTCAAAGTCACGACCAAAAGTATATTTTGCCATTTTTTTATCTGACTCCAAATTTTCTCAATTTTTATGTAAGTGATGTATAATTTGTTGGTTGCCATCTTTATCATTTCATTGACTATAAATTATAGTTAATTGATAATAAAACAAATTGTGTCATTTTTTAAAAATATATTAAGTTCAATATTTTAACAATTAAGGATTAAATTTGAAACTACAATAAGAAAATTGTAAATTTTAATATAAGTGACAGTTTTTATAGATCTAAATTATATTTCAATTTGCAAAAATGTATCTTTTTTAAACCCTAAAACTATCATAATTGGATTTTCTTTCCTTCGAGAATCCTTAACCTCCAGAAAAAAAAAAGAAGCAATTGTTATCTTATTATCTACCAAGTTATGTTGGAATTAGGATTAAAATTTAGAGACAAAGATTTTAATTAATGTAAATTAAAATTTTAAAATTTAGGATAATATTTCAGATTCGTTGTAAAAGAGGAATATTAGTAGTAGCTAAAGGCTAAATACAAGCCCACAATCAAAGAGCTCAAGGCCCAAGTGGACGAGCCCATTTATTCAACCTATACATTTCATTTTGAGTTTCTAAGTATTAATAGTTGTAGTACAGGGTTTGGCAATGGCATGATGTTATTTTTTGACTTGTTAGGGTTAATATTGTTTAAGAGGGTTATGTTGATGGTGACACGAACCCTTGGTCAAAGTCAAATGCAGGGCAGTTGTGTTATTAAACCTAGAATACTAATTAGAAATACTTAGGTGTTACCGATTATCCTACTGATCATCACTAAAAATTTGATACATTTCAAGTTTTTTTTTAAATAGATAATATCTATTTTCTATCACTCTCTTACTTTTAAAAACTTTAACGACCAATGTTTATAATCTAAATATTGTTCCATATTATTAGAAGGGCGTGGAGCTAGCCTAAGGGGAGATAGAGCTTTACCTTCAAACAAGTCTACAAATACCTTGGTGTTGATTGGTGATGGGTGCGTTTATCCCGCACTATTGTTTCAACAATGCACGTAAAGAAAATGAAAATTTTTTAAATTCTTTCATTTACATAGAAATTGAATTTTCAACCACTATGTATGAGGTTTACTACATGAATTGTGTTTATTGTAAGTTACAAAAATGTTAGATGCTTTTACATCCGTTTACATACCATACGTTTGCAACATACAATGAATATTATTTATATTTTGCTCCAAAAACAACCTTTAAAGATTGCATTTCTATTTTCTAAAACAAGTACCATAAATTCAAACCTAGAAAGTCAAAAAGGGCTTCTTCCCCGCATTTTCTCTGAGAATGTAAAAGATTGGTAGCTTTCCACTATCATCCACTCCACTGCAAATTCCAATGCCACGTCCTGCAAATCACTAGAAATTTAATTTATGTTTATATGTTAATGCATGTGAATTAATTCCGCTTCCTTGCAGTCTCTAATGGCGATATCAATTGCTTCACCCGCGGTTGAAGGTAGCACATCACAGCATTGCCTTCTCGGAGCCAGCAACTGCAAATTCACCAAAAACAAAAACGTCAGTTTTTATGTTAAAAAAACAAGATTTAATTGACATTTCTAAGGGTACCGATGAAAGGATCAAAATCATTTTTGTCATTCAGAGCATTTTACTACCTGTTTGACACTTTGGTCGAGCTTACGAGACAAAACCCTGACCTCTTCGAGTCTCTTGGGCGAGGATGGACCGAAGGAGCAATTCACAAAATCCTTCTTGTAAGTGCTCTTAATTAACCCATCCCAATCGGAACTTGCACGATCGAAGTAGAAAACCGTCGGCCGGCGACATGGGTCCGCGTCCATTTCCCAGGTGTTGAAGGAAAAAGATCCAGTTTCGACCTTCAAGTCTTTCGCCCACGGGAAAAATGTCCGCCGTGGCCGGGTGGCGTCCGGCAAGAAAACGTGCCGTTCGAAAATCTCAACGGCGTAACCCCACGACACAGAAATCGTCCAAGAGAACCATCGGTCGTAGCAGACACTCTGTTGCACCACCCTCTGAGGATCCACCTCCACGGACTCGAATAGATGCCGGAGCGCTTCTTTCGTCGTCATGTTGGGGAAAATTGGGTCTATGTGATCCAAATGGTGCAAGGACACCAATGGAGTCACCGGGTGTGCGGCCAATAGACCAAAAATGTTGCCCTTCAGATCCACCTGATGAAAACCTGCTTCGTGGGTCAGTTTCACTCCCAGCTCCGCCACGCAATATTGGACTCGAGAATCGCTTCCGTAGAGATGGGGGTACCGCTCGAGGCAGGAATCGAAAACTTTACGAAGCGATTCGGCGAGAGATTGGGTTATGGCGAATCCGGCTCCGCCAAATCCCATTTCGAAATCGAACACTCTGTTTTGGGTGTACGTCTCTGAGTTGCTGCCGACGTAGTACCAGAGGTTGTGGTCGTATTTGGACAGAGTCTTCACCAGATTCTCCGGGAAGAAAAGCGTGTCGTCGTCTCCGAAAACGTACCACCGGACGTTGGAATGCCCGGCGGCAATTGTTTCCAGAACCACCCGCGCTACTCTAATCGCTGATCGGTAACCGTTTCTGTAAGTGTAACGGAAGCCGGAAGTGTCGCCGGAGATGCAAAGGGCGGGAAGAGAAGAAGCGTCGTCGTTTGAGTTTTGTGGGTCGTCGGGAGGAAGTTGGTCGACGAAAACGCAGCCCCGCATGAGATTGGGCTTCCACCATAATCGGACGTAGTCCTTTCTGGCGGGCCATGAATTCTGGTTGGAGGCGATTCCGAAGACGATTTGATGGAGCGAGAGAGGGGAGGAGGCGGAGGCGTCTGTTTGGGTTTGAGGGGAATGGAAACTGCGGAACAAGAAAACAGAGGAGAAGAGGTAACCGACGCATAGAGAGGAAGAGATTAGGAAGAGGATTGCGAGTGGGGAGGAAGAAGATTGGTGCTTGATGGGTGAATGGAGCATCGCCATGGTTGGGTTTTAGTGTTTATGATGGGAGAGCTTGGATTTGATTTCATATAGAGATCGAAAGTGAAAGAGCGCAGTCCGCGAGAAAAGCAAAGTCACGTTGGAAGTCTTGTGTTAGTTACCTGCGACTGCGTTACTTCTCGTTCTCGTTCTCGCTGATTCTGATTATAAAGCAAAGCTAAGATATGTTTGCCAATTTTTCAATATGGGAATTCGCTTTTCTTTCCTATTTATTGCAAGATTTATGAGCCATTTACAGATTT